GCTAAATTATTCTGACACTGGGGCTTTGTTGACCAAGGACAACCAAGGGAGCTAAAACAAGCAGACAAAGAATTAACCTTTCTTAGAGGTTTTGTATTCCTGTTCTGCAGCAGGTTAAGCCAACTTAGATCAGGGAACTCACTCTATCTGGCTGCTTGCCCCTGTGGAAGTTTAATATAAGGATAGAAATCAGCTGGAGAATGGTTATGGTTGTCTCCAGAATTCACTGAAGGGAGAGGAAGGAAGTTCCCAGCTGCTTCAATTGCCCATCTTGGTTTCATCTGTAGGGTGTAACACAAGAAGTCAGCATTTTTCTTGGGTGGAAGTTCCAACTCAACTAAAACTATTAATAATAAAACCCAAATCTGCCAGTATTGACCTGTGCTAAACAGTAGGATTAGGTTATAACAGAAACAGAACTGTTACATATTTAAAAAAAAAAGAATTAATTCCCAGTTTGCTGGAAAGAGTTGCTGTTTGAAGCACCAAGTAGTTAATTATTGAGAAGTGAGCTAACACTGCAAGTCTTACTTATTCTTGATATTTTCAAGATTCGCTTCTCAGATGAGACTGATCAGCTGATGCAAATGTTAAGAGAGAAAATAAGAGCCTTAAAGCAGAATGTTTTACAGGAAGCAGATCCAATCAATTTCTACTTGATTAAAACTTTCTGTTTCTAACAGCTTGAGAGATTATAACTTTCTTCCTTACAGCACTATTAACAGAAATGCCCAAAGAAGAGGTAAGATCGCCACCATGTACTCACACTGGTTTTACAAGTGAAAATGTTTACTTAATACAGAGCAGAGAAAACACAATTTTTGGGCTCCTACAGCATATATTTTTCATGTTCAGCTCTTGCTAAAAGTCTGGGTTTTGTGGATCTCTGTAGAACATAATGGCTTTAACTGCACTTCAGTCTGCTTATTCTTTCTATCCCTTTGTCCCCAGGAGAAGTCTTTTCCTTTCCTTATCAGTGTAAGCTCAGCAAAGCACTAAAGATGATCCCCTCAGTCAGGTGTATGCTGAAATCTCCTTGAAGGCAACAAATATGAGGCATGGGCTTAAAACTGTGGTTTCTAAGGCCTTTGCCTGATAGTATGTGTGAATAACCTTTTTCTTTTTTCTGCCCCGCCCCCCCCCGGATTATGGCACAGAAAATAATAAACTGCTTTAATAACTTTCTAACGGTATTCTCAGGAGAGCCTCTATCTCCCAATTATTTTAATGAGTGCAAAAGCCTACCCCACCTTTGTGGCAGTAATTAATGCTGTTGCCATTCCCTCCCTCTCATTCCTGCAGGTTCTCTGTGGAGGTATGTCCGTGCCAGCATGTCCCTCTCTGGGTACATGCCTCCTCTCTGTGACCCAAAGGATGGGCATCTCTTGATGGATGGAGGTTATATCAACAACCTTCCTGGTAGGTGCACAGATCAGTTGGGAAGAAGTTACCAAGAACACAGCCTGTCAAACAGCCTGCAAAACTTTGTCCTCTGTTTTTTTTTTTTTTTTTTTCCAAAAAAGGACAAGGAGAAATATTGCAGACGCTAATCTAATGATGGTTACCAGGAGTCATTGTTCTCAGTTTCCTAGGTGTTTGCTTTATCATGGCTTTATTAAGGCTATTTTTTGTTATGAAGTATTTCCTAATAGACTCTGAACTTATAATTCCAAGCTAATTTTGAATTTATTTTAGTGCTCACTGAAAGGAGAGAGCAGAAATTAAACTGCAAACATACAGTCTATCTTTTGAGTTTCTTTTCAAAATGTATCAGTTGAATAAGAAATAATTCTGAGAAAACAACAGCATTAACTCTTCACTGTTCAGACTGGTGTCACCCAGAGCCTGAAGGGTTCAGCTGACAGGCAGTGGTGTCTTGGTTAGCTGCTAGTACATGGCAGAGGTGGAATCACGGGGCGTTCAAGAGAGTGGTGTGGAGTTTGGGGTGTTCTGAGGACTGAACCCAAAAGAGTCCAAGGTGTGTGAATTCACTTGTGTGTGTTTGGGATGTGTTTTATGTCAGAGTTGTCATCACAGTCCGAAAGCATTGGAAGGTGGGTGGCTCAGGAGGGTGGCCAAGATAGGAGACCTGTGGTGTCATTGCAGTTTGTGACTGTAATTGTGTACAAATAAAGAGGAAGGAATCTAAGCTAGAGACTCCGCATCTGAGCAACCTCAATCATTTACATGTTCAAGACAAACCCAGATTGTATTTTTCCATCAGGGCTGTATTTGCCTAAAAACCAGAAGTGGAAATAACACAAAATAGACCTCCAAAGTCTGCATCTGACATTGTCTGTTTGTGTCTGTAAGCAAAAACATGAATTGCAAAGCAAGGCACCTTTTCCACCTGCACATATTGGAGAGGGCAAAGAGCATACATGCAGGTGACACTAGGTGGAAAAGATACAATAGACTGAATGAGCCCAGAAATATAAATCCAAGTTACAGAACAGATCTGATTTAAATAAGTGTCTAAATTAAGCATCTAAATTGGCTCTTCAGAGCTGTGGTTTTCCTACGCATAACTATTCTGGAAACTGCAACTATCTTGGACTCTGGGGGTGTGGAAGAAATATAAATTCATTCTGTGAGGTACATGTCCTTCCTTTCCCTCCCTTGGCACTTCCCTAAATCCTCGCCCATATCCAAAGGCTGCAGCTAGTCCTTTTACTGACCTTGAAGTAGGAAGTGTTGCCTCATTTCTCTCCCACTTGCAAATATGAATCTTTCTCTTGGATCCCAAAGCTCTTTTCAGACTGAAATCCTCCCAGCCTCTCCTTGCTTTCTGGTTCCTATGCTGCTCCTTTCCTTTATTACCTTCTATCTGCAGCATTGACCTCTGCACTGCTGACTCTCCTCTTTAAGGCCACTGCCATTTGTTCTCTCTACATGTCCCCCAGATCTTTTGTTCCCATGAGAACGGCTGCATGAGGTAGAATTAATGTGTGTTTAATGTGCTCTTTCACATTACACCTACTCTGTTGTAACTGTGGACCCGAGCTGTGTGTGTCCCACCTCCTCTCCCCTGCTCCCTGCTATACACTTTTGCTGCTACCTTCACGTTCATTCTGGTGACAGCACAGCCTCAGAGAGAGGCAGGTCATCCTGACTTATGTACTCTGTAAGTGATGTTTACCAGCAGTTCAGCAATGGAAACTCACTCTGAGGTTACACAGGGGCTTGGTCAGCGCGGAGCGGGCAGCAGGTGGGGTAGGAGTCTCCCTGGGGAAATGGTCTGTCAGCAGAGTTGCTGCAAATGTTTATGTCTGAGGCTGTTCAGAGACACTCGTGGTAGGTATGATGTCAGATTATATACTCCCTAGCAGCATGTATGTAAGCTTTGGTTGAGCGGCACCAGGGTTGGCAGCACTGGTACTGATACAACCTTCTTTCCCACTAGCTGATGTTGCGAAGTCCATGGGTGCAAAGGTGGTGATCGCAATTGATGTGGGGAGCCGGGATGAGACGGACCTCACCAACTATGGCGACTGCTTGTCTGGCTGGTGGCTGCTCTGGAAGAGGTGGAATCCGCTGGCTGAGAAAGTCAAGGTATTGCAGACTATATTAAAACAGCAGCTGTTTTTTTTGTACAGAGCTGGAAGCTTTTCCTTATTCATTCAGGGAGTAAGCCTCATGACAGACAGTCTTGTTTCTTAGGTTGAACTCTTACTTGTGGACAAAACAAGCTGGGCAGTGCCCTGGCACCAAAGGAAAGGCAGTGGGATGGGAGAGGGTAGAGCCCCAGTCTGGGAAGGGGATGGTAGAATTGTTAGAGCAATGAAACCTTTTCTTAGAGGTGTAGTAAGTTTTAATAGTCAGAATTTATGAATTTTACCAATAAAAGTAATTCAATGTTTCTACCCTATATGTCTCTGAACTGTTGATTTGGGGAGATTTTAGCACTAGACAGTAATTAACATTACTACTACTGATAAACACTGGGATGTAGAGTATGTTTTGGTTCCCCCCCCCTTGAAGGGTCTTGAAGGATCACTGTGCCCCTCTCACCTTGGCACAGGTTTCTCTCTTAAGGTACCACTATATCCTGGAATGAAAGACTTAGTTCAACCTTGAACTGCAGAAATACGTTTGAAGGCAATTCCCTTTCTGCTGTGGATTATGGAAACTTATTGGCTAGCTGTCCACACTGCCTGAGAAACAGATGGAGGTGCTGATGTGTGAAGGTTTCAGCAGGCTTTTGTGCGCTCTTGGAAAAGAAAAAAATGATAGATAACTTGCTTTTTCTCCATTGTGAATACAGGACATATTCTGAAATGAAATTTCTGAATTAATCATGATTGGTGTGTCTGGCCTCATTGGCAGGTGCTGAACATGGCAGAGATCCAGACACGGCTTGCGTACGTGTGCTGTGTGCGGCAGCTGGAGATGGTGAAGAACAGCGATTACTGCGAGTATATCCGGCCACCCATTGACCGATACGGAACCCTGGACTTTGGGAAATTTGATGAAATCTGTGTAAGTGCATCCTGGGGAAGGCAGTTCCCCCGTATTGCCATTCCACAGAAATCTGCTGGTTTGTGTTGCTTGTTATTGCCTAAGCTGTTGGTAAGAGAAGTCAGTTGGCACAGAGTGAATAACTGATGCTAAATAATGCTGTGGAATGATATAATGACTGTGAGATTGGATTAACAGCAGAAATCGAGTTAGTAATCTTGATTATATAATGACCTGTGAAGGGATCAGTTGCCTCGCTCTGTTTCATGACAATTCTTGCTCAGCTGCTTCGTAAAAACTCTTGGGTGTCTGAGCTGCTTTGGGCAGTTGGGGTTTGTCAAATGGTGTCATTTCTCTCCCTTCGTTATGTAGCTTGTTGTTGCATGAAAGATTTGAAGACGACGGTAGGGTAGGCCGTGAATCGCTGAAATGGAGGGCAACATGCTAAAATATCTGGCTCGGTTAACATTTCAACACTTCTATTAATAAAACATATCATCCACAATTCCTCTGCACCTGATAGAGTATCAGGAAAATGGCACCAATGTCAGTGGAAGGACGTTGTAAAAAGGGTAGTACCAGGTTACAGTCTCTGGGATTTAGTTTTGTTTGTCGATGTATCAGAAGCCAGCATGGGAAGAACTGACTCCAGATGTGCAGTTGAATTGTCTTAGTGACATAATTCAGCATTCACAACAAAAACATCTCCGCCCAGGTTGAGGTAATGATAGCAATTCTGGTTCATTGTCTCTTGTCAAGGAAGTTATTTTACTGTCTTTTTCCATTCTTTGCCTGCTTCAGCCATGCAAGCATCAAAGCATCTTCAGGTGTTTCTGCATAGCTTTGCTCTTCTGCTAGGCTGGAAAAAACCCACCACCACCAATTTTCCTTTAAGTTTATCTCCTTTATAGATATAGTGAGAACCTACAATACTCATTAGGCTGCAGGTTGATTTCTCTAATACTGTCTTATAAGTACTAAACAAAACCAGTAATACCATTAAGCCCTGCAGATTCACATTTGAGAGAGGCCTTAGGACCAAACAGCAGCTATTCCAAACCACCAGCTGATTTCCCCAATATAAATATTTTCTCAAGGATATTTGGTGTCTCATAGCTCCTGGGCAAACAGTGCTGTGTGCCAACAGTGGATCTAAGACTTTGGTGATAAATAATATTCTTCGCTAGATGGAGTGCCCTGCCCATTCTGAAAACCTTGATGAACGGGTCTGGTAGTTCATCACAGTAACAGAGAGTAAGCTGTCAAATACGTTGTTCTGTCTCTGTCTAATTTGGTGGTGTTAAAGAGATTTAAAGACGCCAGGCAAATTTTTCTCAGTGAAATAAAACTTGAGAAAAGTGAGGTTTCTCAAAGGTGTCACTTTCTGTGAGCAAGTTCTTGGCACGAGACACTGGAGGTATGGAGGGGCAGCACCCTCTGGATTTTCATTCCCTGCAGCATAGCTACATAACTTTTGTCCACAGGGAGGCTTTAAACTGTGCTGACCTTAAAGGAAAGGGCATCCTAGGCATTCCTTTACTGTTACAGGCTATGAAGTAGTGGGTTTTTTTATTTCAGCTATGAACCTGGATTCTACAGAAAATAGAAATGGGCACCATATAACCATTCAGCACATTCAAAAGAACAAAAATCCTCTCTTCTTGTCAAAACCCCTCTTCTGTATCAGCCTAGAGCCATGTTGGCTGCATATCTTTTCCCAAAGCTCAGGTTCTCACAGTTATTTTTTGATCAACCTGACCCAGCCAGTTGTAGATCTGTCAAGTCCCTTTTTCTCCATCCACCCTGGGCTGAGAAGCTACGATAGATTACGAGAGGTGAATTCCAGCCTGAGTGCCTCCCGTGCTTTGAACCCTGGTCCAAAAACCAATGGAGAGACAATACCAGCTCAGCCAGGGCTGCTTCCAGTGCTCAGGAGTTGCCACACAAGCCTGAGGTTTAGTGTGTGCTGCCAGCATGAGAGCTGGAAATAGGATCCAGGACTCCTGACACCTGTTGCCCTGTCCTTTCAATTTGATTTTTCAACACCATTTCTACCATCTTGTTAGAAAAGGAGTAAAACTTGGGGCAATCTGTTTATTTTTTCCAGTTGTTTCCATGCTAAGGACACAGCAGCATGTTACTATTCCAAGTGCAAATTACTTTATGCTTTTAAATTAGAGGAATGTGGAGTTTGTGGGTTTGGTGTTATCTGTGGGCCATCATTTCTGCTCCAGGAAACTACTACTTGCATGTTCAGTGCTGTCTGTCTTAACTCATTGCAGGAGATTTTGGAACCGGGTGCCCTACAGTAACTTTTCTTTGCTAGACTTGAGCCAAGGGGGCAAAAGACACAAATTAATTAACATCTTGTTCCAAAGAAAGAGCCTGTACTGGAAGGGTGTATATGTATGCGTCCTAAGCTTCTCTTTATATGGCATTATTCTGTGAACAGCCTGCTTAAAGCCACTGCTGTAAAAATAGTTGTGTCAGGTGGCACTTTTCATTGCATACTGTGGGGTCAAAGGTCAAGTTAGCATTTGGACTTAAAATAGCACCTTGTTTGCTTAATTGTTCCCCTAATTCTTAAGCTGAACAGCTTATGTAGCTCAGGCTGGAAGGTAGCAAAAGTACATCCTGGCTTTGGGGTAGACCTTTGGATTTCCTACTAATTTGCAGATTATATGACTAATGTTTTTTTAGTTATTAATTACTTTTTTCCCCCAACTCTCTTTTTTCCAGGAAGTGGGATATCAGCACGGGAAGACAGTATTTAATGTCTGGTGCAGGAGCGGAGTCCTTGACAAGATGCTAAGAGACAGGCAAGAGACTTGCAAATCCAAAACTGATGTAAGTGTTCAGTTTAAATGCACTATTCTGCAAGAGCTACTTGATGCACACCAGATTGCGTACTGCCCAGACACTGGGCAGGAGTATGAAGGAGCATGATCGATTGTTTTGAGTCCTTATTGTGAGCACGCATGTATTAGTTAAAACTGTATTTTAGGCAAGAAAAGGTATGATGAGTTTTTCAGAGGCTTCTTTCCTTGAACCATAGCCTGGAAGAATGAGGTCCTGCACTTCTCTGATCATCAGGTACAAGTGTGGCCAAAGCATGCTCTGCCAGAGCCCAAGATCTGATGTCTGCTATCCACCCCTGATACCTGATGCGTGCCCATGCAGAGATCCATCCGTATCCTCAGCAAGTATGATGTGGTCTCTGAAACCCCAAGAACTGATGTAGCGCTCTGTAGGGTGGCTCCCCTGTTGCTGTTTCATTCTAACAGGTTATTGATACCATGTTTATAACCTGGAATCATTCACAAAATAAATGTCCTTGAAGGAAGGCAGGATGCTCACCAGTAACCAGCATTTTCTGAGCCATGTAGCTGATGTGGACATGTTTACACACTCACCTTTCTCTTCTCCTTCCCTGTGTACATCAGCAGTCTTGAGGGCACTGAATGCTGCTGGCTCAGCTGTCTCCTGCACCAAGTGCTGGAGTGGGGGCTGTGACTGTGCCCCCGCAGGTCCTGTGAGAGAGGATGGTCTGTGCTTTCAGGTGATGGGCCACATTTGTACCCATCCCTTGAATGCACATGTAGGCTGCCGCCTTGACTAATGCTGCGTAGGCACAAGGAGAATCATAGAATCATAGAATCGTTTAGGTTGGAAAAGACCTTTAAGAACATCCAGTCCAACTATTAACCTACACTACCAAGTCTACTCTAAACCAATCAAGGGCAGACTAGACTAAACCATGTCCCGAAGTGCCACATCTACCCGTTTTTTGAACACTTCCAGGGATGGTGACTCCACCACCTCTCTGGGCGGCCTGTTCCAATTCTTGACTACCCTTTCCGTAAAGAAATTTTTGCTAATAGCCAATCTAAACCTCCCCTGGCGCAGCTTGAGCCCATTTCCTCTCGTCCTATCGCTGACTACATGGGAGAAGAGACCAACACCCACCTCACTACAGCCTCCTTTCAGGGAGTTGTAGACAGCGATAAGGTCTCCCCTCAGCCTCCTCTTCTCCAGACTAAACAATCCCAGTTCCCTCAGCCACTCCTCATAAGACCTGTGCTCCAGACCCTTCACCAGCTTCGTTGCCCTTTTCTGAACACGCTCCACCACCTCAATGTCCTTGTTCTAGTGAGGGGCCCAAAACTGGACACAGTATTCCAGGTGCGGCCTCACCAGTGCCGAGTACAGGGGGACAATCACCTCCCTGCTCCTGCTGGCCACACTATTCCTGATACAAGCCAGGATGCTGTTGGCCGCCTTGGCCACCTGGGCACACTGCCGGCTCATGTTCAGCCGGCTGTCTACCAAACAAAAAAAAGTAACCTTTAAGTTAAAGTAACCTTTTAAGAATTATTTTTCATTTATTCTTGTGCCACAAACTTTAGGTTTTACCTGGATATTGTTCTTGGTGCTAGAAACTGGTCTGCCAGGGCAATGGCTCTCTGCCACCAGCTGCCTGATGCTCGGCACAGAGGACATGAATCGGGTTCGCTGGCATTGATCTCAGCCATAGCTGGCTTTCAGGTTGTGACTCAAATAGTTCTCAGATGCTTCCAGAAAACCTGAATTAAAGCCTTGCTGGAGATGTGTTTTTAGCCAAGAGTTAAAACCCCTGCAAAGCCATAGATTTGTTGCTTTGTTGCTTTTCTTCCTCACTCCTGTATTAGAAAAGGCATTTTGTAGAACCATCATTAAGGCTCCGCAGAAGCTTGCAGCTCTGTCACAGTACAAGGTTTCACACACCTTGTTCTGTGTGCCTCATCACATCTGCACAGTTAATGTACAGTTTGGTAAATGCCTTATTATGGTAAAACTACAGGCTACATAGTGTTGCTTTGTGGTTACAGACCCGTTAAGATTTCTACTTAAAAGTAGGATAAAATTCTCTTGGTTTTACAGTTTAAGGATTAAGGTCAGCTTCTAGCGTTGGTTCGTAACTCATTGGGCTAACTGAATTCTTGGTGGGGAAGTTTCAGTTGTTTTTAGGAAGCAGTTATCACCTTTTTGAGGACTTGGGTACAAGATTATAATATATTGGCTTATTATCCTTACCCTGCTTTGAATTCCTATGATTTAAAACCCAAGTGCTACAAAAGGCTTCATGTTTTACCCAATAATTCATCTTTATCGTCTTTTAGAGATAGGGAAATGAGCAGTAATATTTTAAGTGATTGCCAAAATATATCATAACTGTAGTGAGCCTCACTAAGGAAAGTCAATAGAGGTGAAAAATGCCATTGAGAATTTGCAGCTCTTCCAGAGATTGGTGGTAGAGCACTTTTGCTAGGAGGGAGATGGCATGAGCAAGGGGAGAGGAAGGGCAGTACTTGCAGGGATGGGCATTAGCCCAGCAACAAGGGGTGGATGACGCCTACATCTGAGCTAGTTGCCCTAGACCCCCATTTGTCACCGGAGAGAGATGAGCCTCTGTAGGGTGTGAGTCACTTGATGAAATGGAAATGGCTCCATTGGGATAAGATGAGTGGCACCTTCTGCTCCGGCTGTGTGAAGGGAGCCTCAGGAAACTAGTGCCAATGGCTTCCTATCATCAGACAAATCCCCCCTCAGGCTGACTGGCAGGGTGAGTGGCTTTGGGAAGAGCACAGAGGGACTGAGCTTCATGGGAAACTAGCTGGTGATCCGAGTAGCCTGAGGAGCCCCAAAATTCATCAGCTTGTTATTTCTTACTGGGAAGATGACCTGGACTAGGAGTTACATTAGTCTGAGCTGCAGAAGACGGGTCCTCATTCTGCCTCTGACACCTTGTGTTCAGACTAGTTATAAGCTGGTATGTGTTTGTTTATGTGTATTAATAGTCATAAGGAGAAGTCAAGGGAGAGAAAATTGTGTGTGTCAGAAATGGTTGTATGTCCTATTTCATTCTCTAATGTTTATCACCAACTGGTAACAAGCTCATATTCCTTGCTGTAACAAATGCTTTTTTTAAAGAAGACTTCTTTTAAAATTGCCCATTATATGGGATACAGTAATTCAGGCTAATATTTCAGTTGAATCATGATATTACAGCTGTGCATCAAGCAGCATGTTGGACATTTATCACAATCAACCCTGGTTTTTATGGCCCTTCAATTGCTCTGGAGATCAAATATGTCACATACTCATTGTAGACATGCCTGTCATTGCATTTCTGTGTATGCATTTTATAACAAGGCAGAAAGTGCTGATTGCTAAGACACCAAGAGTATGAAAATAATGGGTTCAGGAGAGTGACTCAACAAACTGCCCAGGTTATGGAGCGGGAACCATCAGCTTTGTGCACTCCCCCAAACTTGACACTAAGGCTCAGCTCCGGGCTGTAATCCCAAGGACATAGGAGGCCTTCTGCTCTTCCTCTGAAAACTCTGGAGTCCAGTAAAAACCAAGATTTTTTTTAATCTGATTTTTGTTTCAATAGATTTATTTCTACAAAATAACAAGTATTGGAGGCTCCCACTGGGTGTGTTTGTCTTTTTTTTTTTTTTCTTAGTCCATCAGAGTCACTTAAGTCCTTTAGCTCTCCTGTCTTCCAAGGATAACAACTGATATTTTTAACTTGCCTTTCATTAGCGAAGGCTTTGATGTTCTATATGGTTTAGTTCTCAGCTATTTCTGGAGTGTTCCACATCTGAGAGCGCTGAGCACGGTTTCTTATCTTGTTTCCATGTCGTAAGCATTGAATTTTTACTTAAAAAGTCCAGATTTTTAATCATTTAGATACTTTTCCCTTGCTTTCATCATTCAGTCACTGTTTATCTCATCTCAAAAATATAAATACCGAAGGCACAAACAACAGGAACCTTACATAAACTTCACTTGAACAACCCTTACTCTTCCCCAGCACAGAATAATGCAATACCGTTAATTGGATCTCCTTGGGGAAGTTTTGTCTACTGAATTGTTATTCATAGTCAAAGCTAAATATAATCTAGCAGACTACAATAGTAACTGTCTTTCTCCTCTAATTTATTTAATAAAGATTGTGCCGAAGAGAATACTTTCCTCCTTGGAAAAAAAAAAATACCAGCAGAAAGGTTTTAGAGTAGGTTTCAAATGAGTCTGAGACACTTCTTTGCCTCGTGTTAACTGATGGGAATGTGGTTTTGTCCTTAAAAGTAGTAAGAGGAAGTGTTTAAACATTAAATTCCTGTTTGCAAAGCATCAGACAAGCATGGGAAGAAACCTTGTTTCCCAAAATTGGTGTTCCAGTCTCAGTGCTAAGACTTTGGGGTGAAGCTGCCTCAGCAAGTGTCCTCTAACAGGCTTACACGTGGGATCGTCTGTATGTCAGCTACCGTAACAGATGCTCCTGCAAGTATGGTCACACTTATGATTGCCTTCATACTAATCTGTCCTCACAACTTGCCTGCGGGAGCTCAAGAGCTGATGGTGGTTTTCCTGAAGCACCTTTTGGCAATGGCCACTGCAGGATTTTGTTCAGCTGTTCATGTAGTGCCCTGGACTTTCATCCCCTCCAAAGCCAGTCCCTGTCTGCTCCATGCTCCCAAGGACAGCCTGGCGTGTGTTTGCCTGAGCGCTGGGTGCAGCCATTTTGCTTGGTAAAAATCCACATTTTTAGAGTACAGGTGATTGCCTCGAACATTGCTGTGTCTGCTTGGTGGCCAGAGTTTGCACATATCCCTGGCTTAGTCATATGGCAAAAAATGAAGATGTAGATACTTTTTTTTTTTTTTTTTGTCCCCCTATTCTGGGGAACAGCCTTCTGCAAATGCTTCACTGGGGACCATTCAGGCCAGATGCTCAAAATGAGACTGGACTGACTCACCCTTCTTGACGGTTCCTTAATGGTCAAACTGAGCTTCCTGACTTCTGTGTATTTTAAAGTGTGTGTCCTAAGCTACTGCTGTTTCATTTCATACAGGTATTTTGTAATTCCATCTGGGCTTTTTTCTGTCCACCACTCCCCACCAGCTGTTTGTCCTGGATCCACACCTTGCTTTAGCTGTACTAAATTACATCAAAAGTTAGTTACAGATTAAAGGTCAACTGAGAGCAATCTGCTGCAGCTGTAATGGGCTTCTGCTGTGACCCCCATGGGGGCTGTATGATTCATAGTAGCAGTGCTCTTGCCAGAAGAGCAAAGAATTGCTCATAAAAAAAACTGTGTTAGGAAACTGCCCTGTCTGGAAGCATGTGGACAGGTTTGGGCGTTTAGAAAGAAAGCTATCATAGCAATTCCTGGCAGCCCAATGCTGATAACAAGCCCCCTGCCAGCTCTTCCCCATCTCTCTCCTCTGGGGGTGCATGCTATTGTACTAGTTAAAATCACTGGTTTTAAAACAATGTGAGGGTGTTCATGTTTCTGTCTGGTGACCTTGTGCCTGGCCCGGAGGAGGCAGGTAGGGGTGCTCACAGCATGGCATGCAGGAAGACCAAAACAGTTCTTAAATGCCAAAATTGGGTTTTATTAGAGGAGAAACTGGAGCAGGCACCTTCTCAAAATAGACAACACTCAACCCACTGCTTGGATGAGACAGAGTAAAAATAGAAAGGGTTTATTGAAAAGAGGAGTTACAGTGGGAAATATTTCTCCTTGCGGGTGGACCACGTACCTCAGGCTCTTACTCGCTGCAGCACCTCCAGCTCCATGGCTTGCTGGGGTCCCCGGGTGGGTCCTGATCACCCCAGTGCCTGGGTTGCTGCCTGCCTGTCTGTGCAGCCTCCTATAGCATCGCTCTGTAGGCTCAGGGCTGGGCCATGTGCAGTGTCCCACCTGGGCATTGGGGCCTCTTCTCTTTCTCCCAAGGGAAAAGGCGAAAGCTCCCCAGGGGCTGCACCCGGCTCAGCCGGTCCCTCTTATAAAGTAACAGTGATGGAGAACAAACAAGTAAAATGAGCGCTGTCTGTCATGGAGTCCAGACCCTCTGGTTCTTGTCTTTGTGATGTTTTCTATAGTTTGCTAAATTTTTAATAAGGTTTCTTGTTGCATGGATGGAGAAGGAGCCTTTAGAGGTTGTCCCACTGTTTGCACTTGGGAATCCTGTCTCTGCCACCAGACCTGCATCAGGAGAGTTGTTTTGTGAATTCTCACTGATGAGTAATGGCTTTTGAGGGGGCAGCTGTGGAGATTTTATGTGTCTGGAGCTTTCTGTCTGTTCAATATCATTTTTCTGTGATAAAAATGGTTGAATTTTTTGTGTATATTTGTTAACATACCTAAAACTTAATGCTGTGTTTCAGAATGTGACCTGTCCCACCACCTCTTTTACGGACCTGGCAGAAATTGTGTCCAGGATCGAGCCCGTGAAAGCACCCGTGGCAGACGGTGAGTCAGGTGATCTGGCTGGCACTGCAGAAGTGTTGGGAAGGGCAGCGAGGCAGGGACGGCTGCTCGATTCTCCTGTGTCCCTTGTCTAATGGCTTTCTTTTAACACCCCATGCTGTAAATTGTGGCAGTTCAGGGCTGGCTGCCACCTCCGGTGTCTACTGCACAAAGCCAGCAGTGGTGGGCTGTATCCTTGCTTCATTCAGAGCCTCTGCATGCAGGTGTGCCTGAGCTTGCCCCAGGCCAGACCTATGTGCTCCCTCCCACTGCCACCTCCTCTGGGAGAGGGTGGGAGTCAGATGTTCTGCCACAGTGAGACATCCACTGCCAGCCTGTTAGTGGCGTGGTCCGGCATGGTTTCCTGGTGGGAGTAATCCCTACTCAAGTTAGCCTAATCTGAGTGAAATAACACGTGTGGCAGCTCCTGCAAAGACAGCTTTCACTCCCCTTGTGCTGGCCCATGTCCTTGCAATGTCTTTGCTCTTTGGTCCATGTCCTTTTGAGATGGGAGGAGGCTGATTTAAAGCTTTCCCTGCTGTTGTAAGTACAATCTGGAATGACTCACTGGCTCCATTGGTTTTTGTATGCTTCTGTTACGGGGAGCAGTAGTGAACTAATGAGGGACAAGTAACAGCTCCTGAATCTTTACACAAAGGCACTCAAGTGCCTTGTGCCTCAGGCATGCCGTGCACCGCAGTACATGCCATAACCGAAGCTCACTTAACAAAAAGGATCAGAGCTCTGCAGGCCTGAAATCTCCAAGCATTTCACCAGTGCTAGAGCTCTTTATAAACAGTCTCTCCCCTCCTCCTGATTCTTGTTCTTGCAGAGGGGAATCTAAAGTTAGCAGTCCTCCCATCTGTGACTGTTTGTAGAGATGTCCCTGTGGTAATTTGAAATGCTAATTGCAATCATATGCCTTATGAAGAAAATATTAATCAAATGTGGTTGAAACAGCCATTGTGAATAAGAATGAAGAGTTCATGTAACATGGTTATTTAAGGCATAGGCATTGAGACCTGCTAAGATTTAACCAGTGTACTGGGACAGATCTCCCTTCTTTATATAGTTTCTGATTATTCGCCCCCATTAGGAAAACCTGCTTTCTGCTGGGTGAGGCCATGAACATGAATGTAACAGAGGGACACATCTTTCAGACAGTAGACAGGGCAGATTTTGGGCTAAGGAGGGCCTGTGCAGGGGCTGCCTGGGATGGGATGGGCAGGTGCCACATGTTCCTTGCGGATGCTGAAAGCTGGTGGTTGTAGAGACTCCAGAGGAGGGGGGGAGGGTGACAGGAGAGTGTCACGCATGTGGGTGCCCTGTCTTGAAGGACCCTTTGTATTCAAGTTGTGGGTAACTCCATGTGCTGCCTGCAGAGACCTTGCCTGTTTTTTGGTGGGCAGTGGCTGTAAAGGCATTCCTCTGAACATGGCATCGCCTCGGTGCCTCCGGAATGGCATTGCTTTTGCTAAAGAGGTATCTGGAGCTATGAGGGAAGTGGGCTGTACCGAGGCGAGCTCAGATGGAGGGTGACACCTCCCTGGCAGTGGCCTTGCAGCTGTCAGATGGTTCCTCATACGTGCTGGTAAGCCTTTGCATTTGTCTGCTTGTGGTGGTCATGAAGATGGTCTGACTGCTTTTGTCCCATGTAAGTAAGAAGACAGAGGGCTTCTTGGTATCCTGGATGTGAAATGGCACTGTCAAAGAGGGTGAAACCTTTTTTCTCCGTGGAAATCCCTTCCTGAGTGAGATCTCAGACCACATGGATTTAGAAAGGCTCTGCCTGTCCTGACAGCATACCACAAGTCTCAGGATGGGTGGAGAAATTATGTCAATAATTTTTTCTAAAGAAAGAAAATTAAAATGATCATGTTCTGATTGACTGGGAAGCCCAGAAGGGGGAAATGTCAGTACAAAGGATGAAAGACCCTGATGGGCAGAGGCTGGCAGAGCCTCCAGGTCAGAAGCTGAATCTTCTTTGTGGGGAAAGGGCAGTGTAGTTTCTTCTCCACTCTTGAGCAAACTGAGAGCAATGATTGAAACCATTAAAAAAAACAAAAAAGGGAGACTGTCCCTCAGGAAGGGGTGAGTAGAGGGAAGCTGGGCGAAGTCCTGTGCTGGACCCAGGGTACCTGTACTGCCAGTGAGCAGGTGCGGAAGCATCTGTAGGAGAACAGAAGCTTGTTTTCACAGCTGAGCCACTGCACTATTTGTGGCCATGTTTCTGTTCTGCATCCAAACATTTCCTCGATTGGGCTTTTCTGTCTTTGTTCATCTGTAATTGCATTTTATGCAGCCATGGCCAGGGGAGCACAGATGCCATCCTCTAAGGGTGGCTCAGCAGCGTCTCTGGTCACGCTCCCACCTGTAAGGGATTTCTGAGGACCAAAGTTGGTGATCACCAAGGGTGATTTCCCACAGCAAGTTTCATGCCCCGTTTTTCAAAGCAGCGATGCTTTGGGCCATCCCCATGGCCAGGTCTCACGGTGTGAGGTGAGGTAGCACGCTTGCTGCACACGATGGCTGAAGGAGATCAAGTCACATAGCAGAGCAATTGTAGCAACAGTCATTTGGACAAAAGATTTGGGAAAGAGAAATGTTAATTGTGGTGCCAAATGCCTGATTTTGCAATACAGCTGAAGCAGGAGACATCCCAAAACCTCTCAAGGGACTCAGTTATCAGGCACTAGGTCACCCTCTGCATCTTCAGTGCTTAAAACGTACTTTTATCAAGAACCACTAATGCACCTGAGGTTGTGATGAGCTACCAGATTCCCTGATTTACATTGAAGCCTGTCAGTGTTACTGAAACAGAAACCCTCTAGCTACACAGCACCGATTCTCTTCAAACGTGGTGTTGCCTGCAGGAATCAGGCATATATAAAAGAAATGCTGAAAGCTACAGAATCACAGAGCAGATCTTTGGCATGAGAAGTGTAACCTTCCTGCTGTGAATATGCTCCCCCCGCTAACAGTAGGCTTGGGTACCTTTCTGTGGTGTAATCTCCTCTTCACTGCCTCATTTTTGAACTACAGTGTTTGGGTGTTGGTGTGTCGAGCAGGGCAACGAGGCCTCGGTCCTGCTTGATGCTTCTGGGAGTTTTTGTAGTGTAAAGGAGTGGTCACCCCTTGAGCCCCAGACACTCAGTCTCAAGCGGGGCAATGGAAGATGATGTTTAGGGATGGTAGGACCACCTTCTGTTCTCCTTTCCCCTCTAGTCCTCCAGCACCCAGAGTTGCTGTGTGAAGGATGTGAGAATCATAGAATCATAGAATCGTTTAGGTTGGAAAAGACCTTTAAGATCATCCAGTCCAACCATTAACCTACACTAGGGACACCCCTCTTGTTTTTTCTGTCTGTATAAAGACCTGCTAAGTGCTGAATACTGCTCAGAAAATCGAGGAGTTTCGTTTTGATGGTAGTCAGTTTTATTGGAGCTGTAAAATTCAAACTATTGTTTGTGCTGTCTGTTGCTGTTCAGGTGAGCTTCTGGTTTCTCTGGTGTGTTTTATCAAAGATTATCAGTAGTGGTTTTGGTATAAACTAACAATAATTCTCTGATCCACAGTAAAAAAACCTACTAAAAAAAATAAAAGACGACCAAATGTCTTTAATCCTAATGTTCTAGCAGTTGGTTGTAGTTATCGTGTTAGAAGAAAATGCTGTGGAACAGACTGTGCTGTTGTCTTCAGCGTGGAGCAGATGCTATTGACTGTTCCCAAAAGAAATACTTAATCAAGAATCCAGTTTAAACACGAGCCACTTTCTTCACTAGTGGGATGAAAACCAGGTATTGCTTCAGCAACTCAAGGCACACTTGAATTAACTCTCGAAAGTGGTGGAAAACCTAGCGTCAAAAAAAAAAAAACAAACCCTGCCATTTTAAGGCGTTAACTTGCATTCTGAAAAACTGTGTGCCAGAAACTGTGCAAAAGGAAGGTGGCCATCTGCCACTCACTTTGTTTTGCTGCCTGTGTGCCTTGGTTTCACGCTTGGTTGGGATGGGGCTCTGCAGTGGCTGCTGGTGCATTGGGTGGTGTATTGGGGCCAGTGATGGGCGTCTGCCCATTTGTTGAGTGTTGAATTGATGTGGGAGTCAGTCCTGTTAGCAGGTGACTCTCCTGCTTTCTGTTTTACAGACCCTAAAGTGATCTCCAGGTGCTAGAAGAGTCATTGACTCTGCACTGATGTATCTCATTCCTTGGGAGTGGGCTTTGGTGCTGGGGACTGGGGGCTTGGTGGCATGTCCTGCTGCTGACTGCTGTGCCTCAGTGTGCATAGCTCTTGAGCTTCCCTAAATTATGTTAATCTGCTGGATTACCAGACAGAGCAGGTGATTGTCCCCTGTGGAGAGGAGGGAAGTGTAAATGTCACTGACCCCTGTGGACCGGAGATTGTGAGACATGTAATGATCATCTCCACACCAGGAAGAGCTTGCCCTGTGCCTGGAAGTCCCTGTTTCCAGTGAGTCTGTGACCGATGTGTCTAGGGGAGTTTGGATTGGTAGCTCATAGGCATGTCTTCTGAAGGTATTTTACAAGTCTTCTCTGGACTGATGAGTGGGAGACAGCAACTATTCTGTGAAGAGCATTCACCAGGAAGTGGGAGTATCTCCCCATTGCTAGCGTTTGTGTCACGTTGGCCTGGGCAGCTGGCACCCACCAGAATAACACGGACAGTTTGTATCTCACTGCTCTTGCTCCAGGCTCTTTAGATTCTAGTGGGCTCCAGGACACCAATTCACATACGGGACATGGTTTATTTTATGATCTGGCTGGAGAGCCGATATCTGTGCTTGAGTAGTCCCAGCTCCCTGAGCTGTGGAGAGTTGGCCAGCAGACACCCTGCACTGCACCAGTGCTCGATGGAGACAGCTATCATTCCTCTTCCAGTTTTCTCTGCCTCACTGAATGCTAGTTAAAACCAGTGTTTTTTCTCTCCTCTCTCTTTAGATGAGTCAGACTACCAGACTGAGTACGAGGAAGAAATTCTGGACAACCAGAAGGATGATTATGTCAATTTCATAAAAGACTCTGACTCGGTATGAACTGCCCTGGAAACAGGCAGTGCCTGTGTCATTGCTGAGTCCGTGTGAATGGTGTGCGGTGGGTGTAAGGTGGAGGTGTCAGGAAGAATACCGAGAGAAGCACCTGGAAGGGACTTGCTGAGGAGGACTGTGCAGAAATGTTTGCTTTTCATGTAGTACAGACACTAAATGACGCATGCTCACCCTGTTCAGGTCAGTCATCTACAGTGGTGCTGTGTGGCAAAACCTGGCCACGGTTAAAACCTGGCCACACAACTCCGTGGGTTTGCTTGCAAGCTGGGTCAGGGCTAGAGAGCATATGGCATGAGGAGAGGTTGAGGGAGCTGCTTTCTTCAGCTCGGAGGAGAGGAGGCAAAGAGAGGATCTGACTGCTGTCTGCAGCTGCCTGCTGGGTGGTTATGGAGAAGACAGCAGCAGAGATGCACAGCAAAAAGACAAGACACAACTTGCACTAAAGGAAATCCTCACTGGGTACAGGGGGAAATACTTCCCAATAAGCATGGCTCAGAACTACAACAGGCTGTGCAGGGAGGTGGTGGAAAATACATCCTTGCAGATACTTGAAAACCAAATAGGTGCCCTGAAGAACCAGATCTAGCATTACAGTTAGCCCTGCCTAGAGCAGAAAATTGTATTATAACCTCCAGAGGTCCCTTCCATCCAAAGTTGTTGGATTCTGTGGGACTTCAGGTCCACCCTGAGGAAAACCTGCACTGAGGCCAGACTTCACACGATGTGGCCCACAGCCTAAGCAGCAAAGCTTGAAGGGTTGTATCCCTGCCGCTCTTAGACTAGAGTGGCCAGCAGGTTTAAAAGGTGAAGCTGCCTGTTGTGTTAGACATGAACAGTTTCTCGGTGGGAGCATGTGAGCAGTTTGGGAAGGTGCCTGGCCTGGGTTGCTGCCTGCATGAGGATGTAAGATGGCTTCAGTGCTTTGAGTGAGGAGCTGGAGAATTTTAAAAAAAAAAAAAAAAAAAAGATTTGGTTTGCCAGGCTGATCTCTGGTGGGTAATGGTTGGTGGACAAAGAAGAGGTGGAGTGGAAGAGGACAGATTTTATGCCGTTCAGAGAGGATGCTGAAGAATGAATTTGTGCTTTTTTTTTTTCCCCCTCTCCTTCAGGATGAAGATATGCAGATAAGGAAGCGCAGGAATCTCCCCAGTGTGGATGGCCAGGCAAGCAGCACAGGAGAGCCAGGCTAGCACTCAGAAGAGTCTGACCTTGCTGGCCAAGAGCTACATCCCATTTGTACTGACAGCAGCTGTATTTAATAAATATTAAAAAAAAAACAAAACAACATCTAGTTGAAATTAAGCAAGCTTTCGTCCTTCTCCAGACAGGGTATGGGGCATTCAGCTGCCAGCACTAAGCACAAATATCTGCATCGCGCCCAAGTCCCCTTGGACCTCCCATGAAGGGTGGCTGATGTGTGCCACACTCCCTCGTACAGGTGCCAGTATGAGTGGCCAGTTATTATCACTCTGAGACTGGCAGAGGGGAAACGTGCTGGGAACGTGCAGTTAAATGCTGCCTTGATTTTTGCTGCTGTATGTTCTAGTCGCTGTTTTTACTGCAAAGGCCCAAAGAATGACAGGATGTTATCCTGCCGTGTGCTGAAAAGGCTCCGAGCAGCAGCACTAGAGAGAGGGAGGGTTTTGTGGGTCACAGCAGTGTTGCTTTCTTTTCATATGAATCAGGTAACTGTAATTAACTCCTCAGTGACTTTCAACCATGTACTTGTGAGCAGTGCTTTGACAGGAGCAAGTCTGAATGTATTTCACTTGAAATCTAAACCTAAGAAATTGATTAATGTGAACGCTAGCTATAGAGCCTGTATCCTCAAGCCATCAGCAGAACATTTATTGACAGATCATGGAGCTGACACTTGCTGGGCAACTCTGGAATCACTACTTGGCTGTATTTGCCCTGTGAAATAAAGTTATTCTGCTAGATTGAAATGTCCGCGTGGTTCTTTGTGTTGGTCCCACAAAGAGAAAGTTGTCAACAACTAAGAGCCCAACTTGCCTCTGCTTATATCAGACTTGCAAAGAAACACATGCGCTTTTCAATTCCTAACCCCAGCAGGAGTCACTCGGTGTATTGTCAAGCATTGGAAAGAAATCTCCAGTGCTTTTCCCCCCCGGAGGGCTGCAGCAGTCGGTGTGAGTTGGACTGTGTTCAGAAGTCCCCCAGTGCTTGCTGCTCTTGTCTCACATCTGTCATTGCCAATAGCTCCACTTGGCTGGAAAATCAAGCTGTTCTTGCTTTATGTAAACTCTTCTCAGCACTAGGTCTAGGTGCTGTTGCCTTGAGGGCATTTGTCATCCAACCAGAGCACTGAAGATGCTCCTCAAAGCTGCCTCCTTTACTGAGCTGTCCTGGCTCCATGTCAGGAGCTGGCGGTGATACCTCCAGGCACGACCAGAGCTAGGCAGCACAACTTTGAGGCCAGAAACATGTTTGGTGGCACCACCAAGGACTGTGGGGGTTGTAAATGCTGTGAAATGTTGCCTGTTCTCTACATTTAACTTCCTCTCCCATGTACTCCCTCGTGGCACAGGCTCTCCTCTACCTGCCCTGCATCATGTTTTCTTCTATCGTGTCCATGAATGTGCAGCCTTTACCCAGGGAGGCCGTTCCTCTAACACAAAAGTGTATTTTCAAGTGTCAGAGCCTCAGGTCAGTGTTTTGTTCACAGAGGGACTCCAGCCCTCCCCTTGGTGAGACCAGCCAGCCTGGCTGCACCTCTGGCAGGCCCCAGGCCCGTTCAGAAGCAATGGAAGTGACTGGGGACCTTCCCTGCAAAGTTCATCCAGATCTTTGATGCAGATTTTGGTTAATGCACTTGTACAGAAAATGTTGCAGTTGCTGGAGGTTGTTCCCCACTATTGAAAAGAATTATTTCTTGCAAAGAAAACTTAAAAATGGCTTTTGAAGTGGAGGTAGAGCAGCCAGCAGCTGGGGGCTTCTGTGAAGGCACAGGCTGCCTGTTAAGATGGAGAACTTAATTCCTGTTGAGATTCGTTTCAGTGTGGTGTTGGTGTCCATTACAAGGAACGCTCATAAGCTGGTGACAAGCCTGGGAAAACTGGGAGTGAGTGCATGCGAGTGCCCACCTTACAGCTGTCTGCTTTGTTTCTGCAGAGCTGCTCCGAGCAAGCAGAAGAGGAACACATCTCGTTCAGCAGCAGCGGCACAATGTAGAGCTCTCTGTTTTTTCTGATGCGGGGATGTAAACCAGATGTGAGTCTCTTCAATGTCTGTATTTAGAGGAACCTTTTAAAGTTGTACCATATTCCCCTCTATTCCAATAGGTTATTAATTTCCAAGTTATGTATTCTAACTCTAAACTTCCCTGCAGCCAGACTTGCACCTGGACCCTGGGTGTGAGCCACTGGGCTCGTGGTTGCATAGGTTGAAAGAGTCACAGAAAACAGAAAAATACTGGGCTCCTGGGTGTGCTAATTAGAGCTGCTGTATTTGCTTTGTGCCCCGTTCCACGGGGAAATGGCACTTAGTTCAGATGTATGAAGACAGAAAATAAACCTTTGATGTGAGACTAAAAGTCTCTTCTAAATAATTGATCACAACTTTCCTCCCTAGCTGCGTTCTCCCTAGCTGAGCCCTGGACATTAAGACAATCTTTCCTTCTGTGCAGAGGAATGTAAAACAGTTATGGTACAACTTTAAAAGCAAAATTTTTTTTCCAGCCTGCTTTGCTGCTGGCTGTGGTCTGCCCAGCTGCCTGGTCGGGCAGTGCAGGGTCCTAGCAGTGTTTCAGCCCCATCCTGCACTTACACCCAGGTGCAGCCTAATGATCCTGCACTTGCGTGTGCAGTTCCATGTCTGGAGGTTTTAAACAGTCCCTGCCCACTTGGACACCCAACCCTGTGCTAAGGAGTTGGTGCTGGGTCACTCCTTCATACCCCAGGCTCTACAACAGTCCCTCTGCCATTTTGCTAGAAATGCAGCAGGAGAAGGTCGATTTAGAAGAGCCCCAAGTCTGCCTGTGTCAGCTGTCCTGGCTGGGACACTGTCCTGCCAGTCTTTGTTGGCCTGGTGGGTGCTAGCTTTGGCTGGAAACCGCCTGCTCTCTCCAATTTCTTCATGGGTGTGTTACATCCCCCAAAAGGTAAACTCTGACCAGAAGCTGGATGAATTTGGCCTTTTTCTGGAAGAGACAAAACAGCCGCTGAGGCCTTGAAGGTTTTATCTCAGGTGAAGAGGACACAGAGCTTGTTCCCACAACAAACCTGATGCCAGCCGTCACCCAATGTGAAGTAGCAGGATCGGAGCAAGGTCCTGAGGAACTGTGGCTGTGAGCAGTACCTGCAGTGGGAAAGGTTCCCCTCAAAGCCTTTGCCTTGATACATCTGATGGTTGCTGACTGCTAGGGGTAAAACCTTGAATAAGCTTTCAGCAACATGTCCCAGTGATGGATTTGCAGCAGGTCGAGTACCAGTGCTGCTCGGTGGCCTGGGCTAAGCTCATCCAAGCAGACAGCGGGGAGAACCAGGGTAAGAAATGCCCACAGGCACAGCCCGTGCTGCCTAAGGGCTCTGACAGTGACCGTGGCTGCTGCACTGAGGGGACAGACATGTCCCAAGTCGGTGATTCGAGAACCAGGCACCCACTGGAAGGGGAAGCCATGGACGAGGGAGTGTGTTTTGGGGCAATTTGTTTGCAGGATTCCAACTCCGGCCCTAGTGCTTGAGGGGAAGGGCTGACAGCGCAGCTGCCATCCGTGCCTGGTGAAGAGCCGCTATAGCTGTGCTCTCCCGACCTCCTGTGCTGGTGAGCAGTGGCACTCCTGTCCCCATGGGGCAGCACCTTGGGATGCAAATGCCAAATGCATTAACTTCGGCATGAACTTACTTAATTGCTTCATTAACACAGTGTCATAAGCTGTTCAGCTCTTAGAGGCAGCTCTGGTGGGATTTGGGAAGAAGAATGAACTACTATTGCCCACGTAGCAGCTGGAAGCACCTGTCCAAAATCTCTAGGAAGCGTTGCCTCAGCAGGGGCAGAGCTTTGATGTCGTGCCGTGCAGCTCTGGCTTATGCACGGCTGTTTGCTGTGGCTTCTCGGGTTTCTCACCCTGTGCGGAGCCGGTTGTGTT